CTAGGGTGCCGCGGCTATGTTAAAGGAGTGTTGCAGCAGTTACGAAACAGTTATATGATGATTTTTGAGGCCCACGTGGCAGCATACCAGAAACAGAACGTGTGCTGACGTGGACAAGCAGTTAAACCACGAAAAAAGTGGTTAAAGGTCGTGGGAGAACGGTTTTAAGCACGATGGAACGTGCTGATAACCGCCTCTTTGGCCGCGGCAGCCTATACTGCCGCGCCAATAGCCGCGGCAGTGTAGACTGCAGCGGCCAAAGAGAAAACACTCAGTCAGTTATCTTGCCCCCGTTTCAACTGTAGTGCACTGATACCCCTATAAATACCTCCCTAAGCACGAAATAAAGGACAGAGAGCATTTTGGAGCAGAAGAGGCTTGAGCTTTCAGTGATTTTGAAGAAGAGAGAGAACTTTCACCCTTTGACAAGCATCATTCGGTGATTCCTAGAGATCTAAGCTCAGACTTGATCTTTGGAAGAACGGACATCTTACATCGATAAGATATTCGTTTTCAAATCTTTACTTCGATAAACGAAGGAGAGATCCCTAAGCACCTTCACGATCTTTGAATCGGTGGTCAACGAGCCAAAGCACTCACGGCACAGGCAAAGTCCCACAAAGCAGGAGTTGATAGACAATTTATGTGTTATTTTCTCGAGAGTTGTAATTTTTGTTTAGTTTCATTGTAATTTCGTGTAAACAAATCAAAGTTTAATGGAATCGACAATGGAGTCAACTTTCGCTGAAAACAATTATAATCACATTATAGCACATTTCTTGTTATCAACCTTTGTAGCTGAAGAGAATCTTCAATATCGACTCAGGTCTATGTACGTTACAGTTTAATGCCATATCCCAAGTAAATTGACATGTAAGCACTTAATGATACCTAGTTTAGGGGTCTCTTGAAAACTAAGAAATGAGATAAAGTCAATATTCACTCACCATAATGACATACCGGTTGATCCCCTTCGTTTTTCTTTAGAGAAATATCATTTTCAAAAGCAAATGTGGGATTATCTCCACCTCATGGAGAAGCACGGGCAAAGTTGACTTGTGTATTCATCTGAATAAGTAAATTCTGCATAGGATTGTACATTGTTAAGTCCACATTATACTGCTCCAGAGGCATGGGAGCCAATAAAAAAAATCTTTGAATCGATTTTGGGATGATGCAATTGGTAGTATATCTGAGGAGTCAGATGCTTGGAGTTTTGGATGTACTCTTGTGGAAATGTGTAACGGTTCCATTCCTTTATATTTAAGGAAAACTCTAAATATTTAAATACAAACCCCGTTGTCGACATGCATAATAATTGAGAGCTTGATCTTTTAGTCTTACTGAATTTAACAAACATAACTACCTGAAGTAGGAGGGAACTGAGCAAGGTTACTCATATCAAGCTGAAGCAAACAATTATGCATATGTGATACATCAACTGAAGCAGCAAACACCGTAGCTATTTAATGTGATTTAGGAGGTTTAGCTAAATAAAGAGAAAGCCAAAAAAAATAGACTCACGTACCTTTCAGTGTAGAGTAGTACAAACGGTAGTAGCTGCAGGAGGAGGAGTTAAGGTTTTCACCGAAGAGGAGGAGGGAGCGACAGAGCTTCGAGCGGCGGCGAGAGAGCTCCGACGACGAGAGAGGAATAACCACCTTAGCAACTAAATTTACAAGCTATTGCCACACAATGACTAGTTTGAAAGGCTAAAACAAACCACGGTAAATTAAGTAATATAATTTCCAAACTGATAATCTCCAGCTAAAAAGGAACACTTTGCCCGAGAAAGCTGACCCAAATCCCCTTCGAAGTCAATCAAATGAGCAAACAAAATGAAAGAATCATCAGGCTCTGAGAGACCTAGATGAACGAAATATATTATCAGAAGTGTTGATCCAACATATGAGATATTAACAGTATAAATTTAAGTCTACTTACACTTGAACAACTAAATTAATCAACTTCGCAGCATAAAACATACAAATCAATCAAAACAAAGGGATAACGGCAGCAGAAACTTCAATTTGGCCCCTACTCAAGTCTTCAAATCAATCAAAATAAGCAAAGAGATTAAAAATAAAAAAAATAAAAAACAATTAGACCGAGCTAAAGAGGAGACTCACAGAGGGAAAGGAACTTTGACAAACCACGAAAGTTTGGAGAAGGGCAAAATTAACAGTTGGGTTTCTCTTATAGCCACGAAAATTTTGAACGGTGAATGGGCTTTTGAAAGCAGAGGAGGAGGTTGCTGTCATGGAATCTTCTGCTTTTACTTATGGCTTCAATTTTAATTGGGATTAGCATTCGACTGCCAGATCTCGCGAATCAACACCAAAACCATGAAAACCCAAAATTCAGTCAAGATCTCACGCAATTACCTTGTGCATCTCACTGAGGGCAAGAAGGGAATCTAAGGTTCCGACGTGGAGATCGGGGATGTTGAACTGCAGAAAGGGGAGAAGAGGTTGTTAAAACCCTAGATCAGAATAAAAGCACTGAAATTGAGAGGTTAGGGTTTGATTGGCTACTCGATTGAGAGGAGTATCGAAAGCTTGCTTGGAGACTGAGTCCTGAAGGCGACTCCATAGGGAGGCGGCGGAGCTCTGGAGAGTATCGAAAGCTTGCTTGGAGACTGAGTCCTGAAGGCGACTCCATAGGGAGGCGGCGGAGCTCTGGACGGGGAGGGCGACCACCATCGGTAAATGGTAAAAGCTTGCTTTGATATCTGATCGATAGAGGCAGAACGCGATGTCTAAAGTTGAAGAAGACGAAGCGGAGATTTAAGGGCAGGCGGAAATTTTTGGGGTTAGGTCTTTTTTCCTCGGGGCGGGACCAATGAAAATTGGGGTGGAGGGGAGACGAATGAAATTTTGGGGCGGCATGTTTTAATTTTCAGTCTCCCGCTAAGTGTTTAACGCATCGTGCCAAAAAAAAATTGCCATCAAGTATTTATAGCATTTAAAATTTTTCAAACGCTATCAAAAAATAAGTCACATATGATCTATAGCACTTACAACATAAACGCTTTTAAAATTTTTCAAACGCTATCAAAAAATAAGTCACATATGATCTATAGCACTTACAACATAAACGCTATCATTCAACGCTATAAAAAAACAACTTTGTTGTAGTGCACACATTTGTTATTGGTTCCAAGATCTTCTAACAAATCAAATTCAATTTCATCCAACTCCTAAACACCTGCAGCTCACTCTCCTCCCTCAAACGCATCCACTTCCTCCTCATCACTCACGGTTCCCAGCGAGGGTGGAAGAGGAGATGGGAGATGGGAGGCTACACGATGGTGGCGGCAGGGTTTACGACTGAGGATGGAGTCGATGAGGTTGAGGGGAGTCAAAGGTGGCAGCGGTATTGGAGGTTCCTAGCAAGGGTGGAAGATGAGAAATAGGGAGGAGCGGCGTGATGGTGACTGGCGGGCCGGCCTAGACTGAGGATGTAGTCGATGAGGTCAAGAGGGAGCAGAGGTGGTAGCTGATGTGAGGTACTCCAGCGAGGGTGGAAGAGGAGATGGGGAGGCGGCGTGATGGTTGACCGGTGGGGGCTACGACTGAGGATGGAGTCGGGCGAGGTCGGGGGAGGCTGACGGTGGCGTAGTGGTCAGCGCGTGTTTGGGAGTTCGCTAGAAAAGGGCTGGTAAGAGGAGTATGGGATAGCGGCGCGATTGTGGCGGAAGGGGGGGCAACGACAAAGGATGGAGCGCAGACGAGGTCGAGGGGAAAGGCGAAGACGGGCGGAAGTGCCGGTGGTGTTGGAAGTTCCCAGCGAGGTTGGAGAGAGGGTAGAAGAGGAGATGAGTTTGTTGAAAGAGAAGGAGCAGATCTGGAGAAGATGTAGAGAATAAGAAGAATGTAGTTTGGGGATTTAATGTCTTGGAAATTGTAAAAGGGGCTGAATCACCTGGACTTTTTATTTTTTGGGCTAATGCACATTAGAAACAGTTCAGGGGGCTGAGACACATCAGGTTTGCATTTTTGGGGCCTTGAATCAATTTTTCCGAAATAATATATTCATAATATAATAATATTTATTTATATTTATAAATACTAATATATTATTAAAATACTATTAATAAACTCTAACATATTAAAAACTATAATATATTATATAATAGTAAAATATTTATAATATATTAATAATATGCTAGTAATAACATAATATTAACATTATTAATATTATATTATATGAATAATAGTATAATATTATATTAATAATAAAATAACATTATTATAAAATATTAATATAATATACAACAATAACACATTTATATACCAATATAATTAAATATATAATTATTTAAAAATAATATGTAATAATTATAATATAATATAACTCATTAAAGTATAATATAATATTATAATATATTATACAATATTATATTTCGTTACATTTAATACTTATAATACTATAACAATATAAACTAAATATTATGACATTTTATTTACAATATATTTTATTATAATTAATATATAATATATTAATAATATGTTTAATACTATTGTTATAATGGGTCAAATTAGTGTTGACCAAAAATACTAAACATGATTAAACATGATGTTTTGAAAATATTTTAAAGAAAAACTACACCACCATAGTATTTTTTTTTTACAAAAACAGAATAAGAAAAACAAACGTAGTATCCAAACAAAGCCACATAAATCTCTACCAATGTTTTCAATCGCCCACTTTCATAAATGTTTTCATCCCCACTTTTAAAATGGGCTGGGCTTGACAAAGCCCGTTCTACAGAGCGCGCTTTGCTTCTCATCTCCTTCCCTCTATTTTCCCTCCCGGACTTCCGATCTTTCCCTCCAAAAAAAATAGCTCCACAGAGAGAGAGAGAGAGAGAGCCCCACCGGCAATTCAAGAATCTCCACCGCCTCCTCCGCCCTCTACTCCGACAACCAGTCCCTAATCGCCGTAACAAACCCTAAAACCATTTCTTTTCCCTTTTTCCCCTCGATTCCTAACCCTAATTTTCTCCTGATACTTTCAGGAGATTAGAAAATCCATCAACATATTCAAGACCATCGCCGTCGATCTCGAGAAGAACGAGAAGACCGACAAAGTGAAGCAGTTGGAAGAGGGCGTTCTTGAGCTCCTGGAGACCTACGATGATTGCGCTCGATTCTCTGACGCGATCAAATCGATGGGAGAATCTTATCAACCTTCTGACGAGGTGATTTTCCCTCTTTTTTGGGTTTTTTTAATTATGAAAAAATGTGATGTTTTCGTTTATGGTTGGTTTGTGAGAAATGCAGCCTACTGATTTTAGGAAGGTGTTGGAGGACGAGGTGGCGAAGCTGAAGGCGGCATCGCCTTCTGTTCCGGCTAGCAATCCCTTGTACCGGAATTTCAAAGAAGCTGTTTGGGTATGGATTTTGATGCTTAATTGCATTTAGTAGGAATCAAGTTTAGTGATTGTGAATCTTTGATTTGTACTTATAGAATTGTTTGAAGCGTCTGCTGTAGGACGAAGCTGCTAATTTTCGAGTTGCCGACTGTTTCCAATTTTTGGTCTTTTTGGACTGTGTCAGTTTCTTTTGATGTCTTTACCTCGATAATATAATCTGTTTGCGACGTATTATTATAGTACTACTTGTAATTCTTAAAGAATGCATTAGAATATAGATAATTGTTGTGATGTGTTTCAGGATGACTTTATTGTTTTCCATAATTCCTAGTCTAGTGTTAGATCAATCTAAAACCCTCCAAACGCCTTAATTCTTCCACATGTATGATTGTACATTTTGTTTGTTTTTATGATTTCGTCTCTATGGCCATGGATACATGGGCTCAAGTTGTAAGTGTACAAATATGTGATTAATTGGGAACATAGGTTATTAGGTCTTGTGGGGTGCACTATAATTGGTTTTACTTGCTGCTTCATCTTCGCCAATAGTACCGCAACCCGTTAACTTGTTCGCTTGCATTGTGTGACATGAAGGCCCTGAACTTAATGCGAGACATCAGTTACCCAAAAACCTCCCATTTTAAACTGGTATTGAAGAGATGTATTCACTAACGGTACATAATCTGTCTCCATCCTAGTGAAATTCCGCTGAATCTTAAGGGGCTCTTAGACTTCAATTGTACAGCCATATTATCTATAGAAACATCTTCTACTGATGTGTGACGGTAATCCTTCATAGTGCAAGTAACATTGCCCTATTATGCATTTTTTTTGGGCCAATCTCAATATGTCACATTTGATCACCGTTTTATCTTAAGCTAACTCGCAGTAATGGGCACGAACCTTGCGCTCTTAGTGACCTATACAATTTTTTTTAATTGAAAGTGATAGTCTAGTCACTCCAGTGGTACTTTTAATGAGACAATGAAGTTTAAGGATGTTTGTCTAATCTCTTTATAGAAAGCTTTAGACAAACTTGCTGAAACCGTTATATTTCTTTGTTTCCCATTCAATTTCAATTTGACCAATCTTCCAGTACAGCCCCTATATTACAATTATGAGCCATAATTTAGAAATGCATAGCGTTCAAAATGGCTTGATCCACCGAAATACCTTATAAACGCACAAGGGTTTGAAGCTTTGGGTTTCATTGTTGGAAAAGAATGGTTTATATTACAATTATGAGCCATAATTTAGAAACTAATAGTAATTTTCGTAGTTTTGAAAAAAAGGGCTTAATCCACTAAAATACCTTCAAAACGCATAATGGTTTGAAGCTTCTGGTTTTATACTTTTATTGTTGGAAAAGAATGGTTTATATGTTGAAGGCTTGAAGTATTAAAATCTATGTGAAACTAAGTAAAGCACGAGCATAAGAGAGTATAAGAATAGATAGGTAAAGAAGTCTGAAACTCTGTTATTCGATACATGTATTATATACTTCCACTTCAACTGAATGTTGTTGTAGCTAAGCACAAGAGAGTTTTTCTGTGAAGTATGAATTTTCTGTGAAGTATGATATAGTGATATACTTTCTGCTTAAACTTTAAGGTATTGTTGAATAAACACAAAATGGTGGAATGTCATTGGCGTCTGGCATGTTAGTTGGTTATTTTACTAGCAGATATCCGTTTTATCAACAATAGAGTACAGGAATTGCTGCCTGTCAATATGAGCCAACTGTTCTGGAATTGCTGGCCATCTCCTTGAGACTCTACTTTCTTAACCAAAACTCAGAAAGTCTTGAGGTTATTTCTTGTAACTGAACTCAAACCTAATATTGTTTTTATTTATCCATTACTAAATTTTATAAATTGAATTCTGTCCTGCAATTATGTAGTTGAATATGTGTATGGTGCATGTGGTCTTTGATGACAACATCAGATGATGAGACTAGAGATGGGTAATCTTCGAAGTAGAAAGGTGAAGGGTAATCTCCAGAATCTAAAGGATTTAAAATTACTAGAATGAAAATGGAATTTATGATATAAAGGTGAAAAGTTTTGTAATCTTAAGAATTTAAAATTAGGAAATCGAAATTGGATTTGGATATATAGGACATCTTTAACAAAATCATGAACAAGCACAAATACAAATTGATGGTCATGAAAAACTCCAAAACGATCATTTTTCTATTTAGGATCAAGTACTAATATGATGGTGAAATCAAGAAAGATGTAGTTTATAGAATCAAAGATGGATATTGGATGGTTCAAGTCAAGAAGCGCATGTCAACTTTATATGATTGTGGAAAACCCATGAAACTAGGAGAAATTTTTACAGGACAGAGTAATGACACCCATAACATTGTATTCAGCTATTCAAAAAATGTTTATAGTAGATTTCAGAAGGCTAAGGTGGATGAGTTGAAATGCACTGAAAGATAGGATTTTAAGAACTTACCGGTTTTTCCTATTCAGAATAAAATTGGGGATAATCATTTGACATGATTTGAACATGTGCAGTAGAAATAGGTATGGCAGTTTGGTAAATTGATAGGTTTACAGGCATTGAAGCAATGTAATTTAGAAAATATTGGTATCTGAAACTGTTTATTTTGGACGTTCATGGAAAAGACCTAAAGATGAATATAAATCGTGACATATACCTGATAGCAGTATATCCTCGAGTATTCTTGTGGTTGTCTCTCTGGTGGTTAACAACAAAGTTTACCTGTTTCTCAGTTTTAGTTTATTGCCTTTAAGATTAGCTGTTGTTGTTTAATATATTTCTTTTTGAATTTCTTTAATGATTGTTGATATTACTCAGTTTTTTTGGCTGCTGCAGGATTAACAAATTGTAAGCCAATATAATATTAAATCTAGTTAATAAAGGAGCAATAAATCCTTATTTGTTGTACCTGATTTTTTTCCCTTTACTGACTGTATTTGCTTTAGAGTGTTCATCATGCAGGTCAACCCATGCCCGGAGAGGAACAGGAAGATATAATAATGACTAGTACACAAAACAATATCTTAAACATCATGTGCCCAATAACTGGAAAGCCAGTCATCGAACTCCAAGATCCAGTTCGCTGGTACAGTATTTTGGCTGTCCTGCATCTAGTTCTGTATCCTAATAATATAACATCATTACTTTTGCTGTCTTTTAACAAGTACCGTTTTCCTTGAGACGGTAAAAAAAATTACTGTTTATGACATCCATCTTCCACAAGTATTAATGATGATGTAAAAACTTGTTTCCTTTGCTTGATGATTACTGCGGTCTGCTACTTATAACAATTGGTCGACAGTTGGGAACGATAATCATGCAAGCTCTAGATAACTTCATAAACATTACTGAACGTATTATTAGTGCATCACTAACTTTATTAAGAATTAGCTTTTATGGTGTATTTAAGTTTTCTTGTAATTTGAAGGTTAATTATGTTAGAATATAAAAACATAACCCTCGACTCTAACCATAACTTCGGAGTTTTGGTGTAATTGTTAGAAGGACTTTTGGATGGTATTAAAGCAACTTAGGTTCAGATCCCACACGCCACATATTTATAAGTGGATTTTTTTAAAATTGACATTGTTGCGTGAGTCCATGTTTCTGCTCATGAAAAGGGCGCTCTAACCCACGGGGCATTGTTAGAATATAAAAATATATTCCTCAACCCTCACTAAAAATTTGGAGTTTTAGTCTAATGGTTAGAGGGAATTTAAGAAATTAGATGTATATGTATATTAAGCTTATCTCTAAAATATAGCTTTGCTAGGAACTAGGAATCATGTGCATGGGTGTAAGCCAGTAAATGCATCATTAGACCCGTTTACTTTGATTATGTTCCCTTTGCATTTCTTCTGGTTTGATGCTATTAATGATTTGGAGCAGCCCTCAAATATTGACATAAATTGTTATTAGCTACTGGTAAATCTTTTGTATGATAGATGAGTTGCCTTGCTTCTTAAATGAGTAAGTTTAAAGTAAATCATATTCATATTTTATTTAGAGGTTTACATTGTCATTTTGTCTGTATTGCAGCATGGATTGCAAACATATTTATGAGAAAGGTGCAATTATGCAGTATATAAGAAAGAAAAAGCCGCAGCCAACATGCCCTATTGGAGGTAGGTTATTTGTTATTTTTTTGGAGTTCCTTTGGTTGTTCGTGTTCCCTCTAACAGCCTCATCTTTACTCAGGCTGCCCCAGAATTTTGCAAGCAGCAAGAATTGTCTGTGATCCCGAACTACTTGTTGAAATAGAGGAGATGCGTGCAACGTATAACACTGAGGTGCATGCCACTGCAGTAGAGGATTTCACTGTAATTGATGATGAATGAGATGTTTTGCTCAAATTGGATTAGTTATCTTACTCCCCTGTAGAAATGATAACACACAACTTCTATAAGCATTCATGTCATCCTTAGTGACAATCCTTTGACATGATCCTATGCGTTTTGTATTTAGCTGATTTATCTTACTTGATATTGAAGCATAATATTGGTTGTTCTATCTAATTAATACCTAACTATTTCACTTCAACGAGAGGATTTTTTTTTCTTGGTTTTGTGTCGCAATGTCTTTTTGTATCAATAAATCTCCGCGGCTTGGGTATGCAGATAATGGTACAGTGGATTTGCATGCAGAGTTCATTCTCATTCTCTGGCATCTAGATTACAGCTGAAAGTGTTTTCCCCCCTCTTTCTCTCTTTCTCGTCTTACATCTCAAGAAATCTACCATGTTTGAACTTCACGATTCAAAGGAATTAGAGGACGTTGAAGAGGCTGTTCAGTTAGGATGTCGCTGTAACCGGCAAAATTTCATTCCGAATTATGGTATATATGGTCTATCTATTTTCAAGCTTTGATTAAAACCAGCACGGGTGCTCTATCTGTACATGGAACGGTTATGACTTGTGAGATGCTATTGTGGATCAGTCAGGTACGAGTTTAGCTGTTTTGCTGTTAATAAAGGTCGACAAGTTATTCCATAGAAGCAAATATTTGCTCATTTCATGTATAGAGGCTCGTGATGCATCTAAGATAAATATGTAATAATGTCAATCAAATGATGTTCTTCCTCTCTTCCAGTATAAAATATGTAGGTAGCATCGAGGAACACTTGTTGAGCTGAATGGAGACCCGATGTATGATACCATTGTTCCAGTTCTTTATTAACTGCAACAAGTAGAAACTCTAACGCCACCTAGCGCATCCATGCGTACATTGTCCATAGCAATTTCATTCATAGATAACAGTGCATATTTTACGCGACCCGCAAGCATATAGGGCGTTGGTTTTATTCATAGAACGAAGATCTGGTGCATGTCAAAAGTCCGCAAGGTAATGCGGATTGTACTACAACTTCTACTAATAGACATACTCATCATTTAGAACTAGACATATGAGCTTAATTGCAATCACGAGGAGTTTTGTATCACCACCAATAGTATAATATTTGGCGTTGTTTGGCAGTTTGAAAATAAAATTGGACCTGGATTGGTTTTTCTTAACCTAATCGTAGTTGGTTGAGGGATTGGTCAAAAAAAGAACTAGTTTAAGGACAAATATAAACTAGAAAAATGTGGTTCAACTTGAGCTTAATTTTTATCAAACTAAAAATTAGGTTTTGAACCGAAGTCGTATGAATTTGCCAAACACACATTTACTAAGTACTCTTGCTGCTTTAACTGCGACAATTGAGGCAAGGTCGTTCCCGAAAAGTGCATAATTTTCAGAGTAAATTAAGTAATGCTGAAAGCAAACTTTCGATAAGCATGGAGCCAATCCTGAACAGTTTCAGACTATGCAGAGGGTATATAACAGAGATCTACAAGCTCGGAAATTTACATGCCATAAAAAAGAGGGAGATAAGGGCATCAACTTTCATCAGAGCATAATGTCAGAATGATAATAAATGTGAATCTGGAAATATGGAAATGCTCACTTCTTTTCTCGACTGCTCAAAACGATCAGAAAACCTACATCAAAATTATCTATGTTGGGCAAGGAAAAAAAAACATCTGACTAGTTTCTTCAGTCGGTACTCAATCAACTGAAGATTTCCTACAAATCTTCTACTTCACTCGATACCACAAGTTTCACATGAACTAATACAGTTAAGCAGTTTTAACATACTGTCAACCCAACTTTATAGTAAGGAAGCAATCAAGAGTTCAACATCTTCTACCAAGTTCCGGCGTAGACAATGAAAGCATAGGATAACAGAACACAGTCAAGTGTTTCTCAGCAGCATAGTTACAATATTGTAAGGTGGAAGTCTTAGAAATCTGAATATAAAGTTAACCCTTTTAACATCAAGGGAAAATGCTGTTTCACAACTAAGAGCATGCCATCAATTCTTTTTCATCTTGAGTGTATATCAAAATCCTTGATGCAGTATTGCAAAAATCCCTGCACAATCATGACAATTGATCAAGGTTAGTGCCAATAGCAATAAAACTGATTAAGGTGCCAACTATAGAAGATGGTTACAAACACTTAACTGCCAAGGATCATCCCCAACAAGCATCATATCATTGTCATCATCAGTGTAGACAACATGCCATTTCTTCTGTTTATCATTCAAAAGCCCCTCCATATCAAACAAACGCTCCAGCTCACATATTAGACCATTATAGCCATCAAACTTTGAGAGATCAATGGCTCTTACTACAACACTCCCTTGCTTGTGCACCTGCAGTATAAGCTTTATAACAAAGTGAAAAAGTATGCGGGTTTTTTCCCCTAAAAAGGCGTAGCAGCACACACAGCATGAAGAGTGCTTACTTTCGTACAGCTACGCCCAACAGAATTGTCCAGCATGTGAGGATTTAAGCGTGGAGAAGAAGTTTCATAGTTCATTTCAGTTGCGTTAGGAGATGCAGATAAAGTGTCATCCACTATGTCCACTACTGGAATCATCTCAGTCAAGGGAAAACCAAAAAGCTTGCAGCCATTTCTACCAATAGCATGTTCACTCTTTGCATAGCTTTTCTCCGGTTCATGTTGCTTTTTGTTGAGTTCATTTCCCATGTTACGAGTATAGCAGTGCGAGGATGCATCCTTTGCACTTCGAAACTTTGAAAAGTATGAGACACCGAGATAATTGTCATCCCCACCTTTATCCTGAGTATGTGATCCATAAACTGGTTGAGGGCATGGGAGCTGAGAAGTTTGTTGAAACATTAGGACAGAAGAAGGGGAAGACACTTGAACTGAAGGTGTAGATGGGGGTACAAGGATGCTATATCCCTGAATTTGTCCATTCCCTCTTCCATCAAAAAACCCAAATCCACAATTTTTTACACAAGAGTCAATCAGACCTCCATGACCTGGTGGATTTACTGAAAATTTTTCTTGACCTTGCAAGACCTTATGGAATCTGACAGATTCACCAAAGCCTAGGCGATTGTATGAGAACCCAGAATTCCCAATTGGAACTCTCGCACCACTTCCAGAGCCAGATAAGTTATTATAGTTCACATCAGTGGTGCATCTCCTTGTTTCAGGATATTGATGATTTCGTATCTCAGGAATCTGAGAACTGGGTACAACAATACCACCATAAGGAGCTCTAAAACCGAAAATTTCTTGACCTTGCAAGACCTTGTGGAATCTTGCTGATTCCCCTAAGTCTATACACCCACTTCCATCTGCAAAGAATTAAGTAATGATTAAATCAAGTGCATCAAATGTACAAGCAAAGAGGCAGAAATATATTAGAACAACTACTTGGAACTGAGTAATCAGGATTGGATGAAGATGGACAGATTCTACTTCTTTTAGAACCAGATGCTGCCAAACTGGCTGATCCTGAAACTGAACCAGTCGGCTCGATCTCCCAAGGAGATAACCTATTCTGTCTACTTGTATCCACATCATCATCCCATCTAACCTGTAACATTCAACCACATCATGAAATGCCAAGTCAAAAGATAAAATAAAGTGTTTCTGAAGCATTCCGAATCTAAATTATAATTTACGTTAAATAATTGCGAGCTGATTGTTGAATCATCTACTCAAATAGACACCATAAGACGAAAACACAGGGCACTGATTTTATTTTGGGTTAATCAAGACTCCCTTGTGCTTAAAGGCTTGTTTGGATTGAGGGGAATAAGGGTGAAGGGAAGTTAGGGGAACCATTCACCTTGTTTGGAAACATTTAGGAGGTGAAGTTATTCACCCTAGTTCCCCTTGGTTCACCCCCTAATAGTATAAAATTTGTTACCCCCCAAATTGGGGTGTAACCAAGGGGAAGAGATCTCCCTTCCCTTCAGGGCTTGTTTGGATTGAGGGGAATGGGGGTGAAGGGAAGTTAGGGGAACCATTCACCTTGTTTGGGAACATTTAGGAGGTGAAGTTATTCACCCTAGTTCCCCTTGGTTCACCCCCTAATAGTATAAAATTTGTTACCCCCCAAATTGGGGTGTAACCAAGGGGAAGAGATCTCCCTTCCCTTCCCTTCCATTCTCTCACCTAGTTTCCCTTAACTTCCCTTAACCCCATTGAAATCCAAACACACCCTAAGGTTCCCCACTAGCCAGTGACACAAACGGACTCACATACATAACAGTCACCAGATAAGTATTCAGTTAAGAAACTGCCCATGGTTTGAACTTTCATTAAAGAAAGGGAAAAAACAATTTGCTGAAGGTTACTTTCATTCTTGCAAGGATATTAATGTCAACAATCATTGGAAAGAAAAAGAAAATGAAAATGAAAGGTTTGGAAACCAAGAACCCACACAGGTAAAGTAACTGCAACAGCATAAGAGGTAATGTGTCATCAGTAAATAAATCTTACCCAAAAAAGGAAAGAGCACAAATATATGGCGGTAAGTCTATTGCCTTATCTCCATTAGCTATCATGTTCTCTATAACATTAGCTGAATTCTTTACAACCAAATGATTGACCAAAAGTTAGTCTAAAGCTTTTATCAGTAAGCAGGCTTTGCCTGTATCTATATGATGTCTTCTTAAGCCATGTAATACAATATACTTTTCATAATTCCAACCATGGGATCAGATTACGTGTGTACTTAATATTGCCAGGGATATACAACAGAAACATAGAATACTCCATCCATACAAAAGCAAAATGAAAGAGAGGAAAGGGAACAAACAATGGAGATTATATCATAATAAATGAATTAACTTGTTGAAGAATTAGTAAAATACCGAAAGCTAATATTTTTAGAACATACCAGAAGACACCTCCATTTTGAACCTGGCCACCTAACAGGGTCTATGTCGCCGATTCCAGATACCCATCCAGTATACCTGACAAAGTTAAAATATAAAGAGATCTTAATCACAAATAGATAAAATATGAAATTGCATGTTCTCCAAGTTTTTCTGTGCCAAACCTTCTCTCTGCTGCATCTTCACTTTCAAATCGCATTTTGAACCGTGTACCACTACTAAAGGAGTAATTCAAGCTCTTTGTAAACTTCCAATATGGTATTATGAACTCTGATGGGCTTGCCCTGCAATGTATAAAGTTACATATTATCTAAACTAATGTGTATTAAAATGTACTCGTCATATTCATTAACTTCCAATATGGTATTATGAACTCTGAGGGGCTTGCCCTGCAATGTATAAAGTTACATATTATCTAAACTAATGTGTATCAAATTGTACTCTTCATCCTCATTAACTAGTCTGCTAAAACATAAATAGATGTGAATTTAATGATTGAAAATTTTGTAAGCAGTCAGTTAAAAACAATAAAAAAGGTCAAGATAGACTATAAGTGAATGGTCACTTGGATCTTAATTAAATTATTATGATTTGGGGATTAAGAAAAATGTTCCACTGAAGAATTAAAAAATAAAACTACAGAAAAAACTGCTTTTATATTCTTTAGCTTTAGACACGAGAGCTACTACTTTATACTGTGCTGAAATATTTATCTGGCTTCTGATTATCCAAAAGTCCATACAAAATGAATCAACATGAGGTACTAATTCATAATGAAGTTAACAACATCATCAGAACATGGCATTTCGAATTTAGTAGCATCCCAATTCCTACTAACGAAAATGTTATATGATATTCCAGCTCTATAAATAGATGAGTATTCATTAGATGGCAATTTCAAAAGAACCTCCCCATTTCATAACCTTCATTGATCTACCGCAGTTTTTCTTCATGACACAAAAGCTTCCTTGAATTTTTCCTTATTACAACTATAGACTCAAATCAAACAGAAGAAACATAACAGGGAAGAGAAAATAAACACATTTCAATCAATGAGAGAATCCGTTCAAGAGCCTTCATCCATGGTCAATCCAAACCAAAGATCATCCATCCATGCATTGAAAACTATAATCACACCCCTATAGCTTGAGCCAAGCCTAGACTAGTAAAGGGCCAGTGAACCATGCACCTAAAGCCAGAAATACTTCAATACTTCTGAATTCGAAACCTTCGACATAACAACCCCAAAATGGACAGGATGTTGCCTTTGTTGTACCTTTTCTTACAGCACCTTCATATGCAAATTGATGATGCCGATATATGAAAGAACTTAATTCCTTATAAATTGCATGAAAAGCTTTTTCAATGATAAGCCATTTTGTTTGAAGTTCCAGGCATCATAGCACAAAGTTGCATCATGGTTGTGGAAGTTGTTGTATGGTAACCAAGACATGGGCACTTGGCAAAGACAATAGCAACATTATTAAGAATAAGAATCAACAAGATTGCTCATTTTGATAAATGGAGATCAGAAAGAAAGTTAAACTATTAGATAAAAAATCATCACAGAGGACCATGTTTCTAAGAGAACATTCCAAATTAACTCTTGGGACTTTGATATCACATTCCTGCCTATAAAATGACTGGAGGTATTTTTTTTATTATCTAGCATGAGAATGAGCCAGAATGAACATCAACTGTTGTGAAACAAACCTTGGGTTATAGTAGATGTGGAACACACGTTTCAAAGAGATGGAATCAGCTACAGCGGCCAATTTACCCAGATTCATGTTCTGGCTACAGAGTACGGAATACGGTATAGCACTCTTAAGCTGTGCAGCTCTCCGGACTCCCAATCTGAGCTCCCCATTATTGCCTCTGTTAAGACAAGAAACGGGGACTTAGTAAAGCAAGATCCGTAGATATCTCTTTCTATTTTTTAGAGTTAGCACAAGCTTCGCTCACTTACCTAAGAAAAAGCACAGCATCGCCTGAGATGAGCTTCTTCTTGTTAACAAATGCACTCCATCCTGTAGTTAGAAGGTGTCTGCGTGGTTGACCTGTTAATAAAGAGGCAGATACAAAAATCTTCAAGACTTGAGTTTTCGTCTAGCTGCATAATTTTAAGTTGTCGGAGGCCAACTTCTATGACTGCTAAAATCAGAAACATATAGAAATCTTGAAGTTCGCTACATAAATTTGTTAAGAGCCCAGATTTCTATAACCGTCAAAATAAGAAAAATATTTAGTTTGCCTGCTATAACTCAATTTGTACTATACACAAACAGGTTTTGCTTCCATGTGAACCAATTTAACAGGCAAAATTTTAGAAATCAAACAATCCTTTATAAAGGACGAGATATTTATTCGCGTATCACTACTAAGAAAAATAAAATTGCACCTATTGAGTAACTACTTAAAATAATAAAGCCCACAAAAACTTAGGCAGTTAGAAACTAAACCAAGAATGTATAAAATGTTTCTTACGCGTAAATTTGACAGGAAAATGCCAAGGAAGGGAGCAATATAAAGTCATGCGTCTAGGGTGCTAGAACTGCTGCTAGAAACACTGTGTTAGCTGAAAACTTAGCGCAGAAGTAGAAGCTGATAGATTCCAAGGCCAATAATATGTATCAAGGAACCTATAAGGAAGGAACCATGGGGGAATCTAAGTTTTGCATGGGTTTTAAGTTATGCGTCAGTTTGATGGGGTTGAACCAACACGGATATATCAACTAGTCTCACAGAGATAACTTCCATTATTAGCATAAAGAAATAAAAAACAATTGACGAGATGCATGTGTTGATTATCGGTCTACTAGTTACTTCATACATGAGATTTCTCCCCAGACTGCCTCCAGAAGAGAGAAGCTGATAGCTTTTGCCTGTGCTACTTACCATTTGCAGGCTGAGTTTCTTCTGTACTCTCAATCACGACATCATACAGGAGTTCAAGTTATTAGAACAAAATTAAATAAGTAAATAAATAAAATAAAATAATAATAGGGGAAGTGGCATGTTTTATTTAATGGAGGTTTTCCCGTCGTGATGATCTTTGTATTGAAGGGAAAGACACTAATTTGCACCCTTTCTCTCTCTCGAATCCACTCCCTCTGAATAATGTATCTGCTTAGTGCTACAAAAACTCTATAATTATAGAGAATAAAATTTATTTCAATAGTTTTGGCTTAGTTTTACATAACTTTTGGACATCCTAAAAAGATCATTATAGAATCAATGAAATCATATAACCGTGGCCAAACAGGAAAAGTAGAGAATGCCAATGTAAAATGGAAATGGTAATCAACATCCATAACAAAGAATGCACAGCTTAAACACAAGGAATGCAGACCAAACGTTCATCTTCCCCCCACAGAATACCTCGATAAATATGCCGAAACCTCCATTCTGTGCCGTGCAAGTCCTTGGCCACAAGCTCTTGCGAGGGCCTCTGCTGCTTATAATCCTATATCAAATAGCACCAGTCAGTATCAAACAAACCCAAAACATAAGAACTTTCTCAAACAATCAACCCCGATGCAAGAACCAATTTCAGGTCGAAACCAAAGAAGAAACACTACCAATGGAGGGAAACAATCTTCAGCGGCTCGTCGAGGAACAGAGAACCCTCCATGAGTGCTCGTATCCGAAGCAGTGAGAGTCTTGCAGAACATATGCGGCATCAACGACGTCCTACTCTCACCATTAATCTCCTCAGGTTCCCCATCTCCTTCAAACTCCCCCACTCCCACCTGCTGCTCAATCTCCTAACCCATAATATCCAAAAATAAAAATAAAAAACAAATTCAACAAAATGAAAGAACTCACTAATTTTTATTTCGCTCCTAATCTACTCAAAAATAAAAAACATCCAGAAACCCTAACCTCGCCTTGAGCAACCAGAGACAGCCGAGCAAAAGCCACATCCGCCTATAAAAATCACGAATATCACAACAATGTAACTTAAATAACGAAAAAATAAATAAATCAAAGAAAAACCTAGAGAAAATTAAATAATAATAATAATAATAAACCCTACATGGAGCTTGACATCGACGACGCGGCAAAAGACATGAGGAGGCACATTGCATCTAAAACCCTGATCAGCAGCAGAGACCCCCAAATGCTCGAGATGCCCTTGCGGCAAATAAACAACAACGCTCCCTTTCTTCGGCAGCGAGATCAGCGGCCCGGCGCACGCGTGCCAGAGCTCCAAGCACACCGCCGGCGTCTCCTCCGCCTCCGATTCCTCCTCCTCCGATTCCTCCTCCTCCTCGCCTTCGATCGTATTCAAATCGATCCCCATCATCGCTAACTCAAGAAGAGGGGGCAAAAAACAGCGTTTGGTCTTTGTTTCGTTGGTGTTGAGAGAAGTGGCAAGCAAATTAGCAGCTACGTGAGCGATGCCAAAAGGGCCGGGTGGTCAAAAGCGAGGGGAGCCCGTACGAACTCTGCAAAGCTCCAACCCCCATAAATCCTGCTGCAGCTGCTGCTGCTGTTTCTTATTTTATTTTATTTTTTAATGGAAGTTGATGATGATGAAAGTGATCTCTCTGATCTCCCCTCCCCTCTCTCCCTCCCTTTACTATTTTGATGTGTCGATGCGGCGAGAGAGCTGAGAGGAGCAGCAGCTCACTTTTTTATTTATTTTCTTGTTTCTTTTTCTGATTCTTTATTGTTTTCTTTTTTTACCCACCCTCGCTTTTATCGGAGGGAGTGACGAGCAGCTACAGTTGCTGGTGCTGTTTTTGGCTACGCTGGCCTACTGCTGCTACCCTAGTTTGGTGGTGTAGGATGAAGCTTGCTGCTGCTACTAGTTAAGTACTAGCACTAGCACTGTTGCTCCTGTTGCCGCGAGCTGAGGACGACTTTATTTTTGCTCTCTTTAGATAACTTTTTCCCTTTTCTTTTTTAGCTTTTTTTTTTTTCCCTGGGAGGGGGGTTAGAGTTTGATTAATGCTACATCAGTCGACAAGACGTAGAGCCCTTCTGCTTTCCTGGGTGACTCGTTTACCCTGTTATTATTGGTTGGATTTTTGAGCGTGAAGGGGCCGTATGTCTACTTTTTAAAAAAAGAGAGGTAGATAGAAATGGAGAACTTGAAATCTGACCCCTTAATCATAAGAGATTTTAATTACTAGATATTTTCATTCCCAGCATTTGATTCGCTAGGTGATTTAAAGAAATAGGTGGTGAAATGGGGGTGACACATCAGATTTTATAGAAAACCCGTTTCAGACCTAAAGTAGATGAAATGGGTGAGAAATGTTACATCGTTGAATATTTAATTGTTAGGTTCACTGTTGAAACGACGGCGGGAAGGCAAAGGGTAATATTTAATGTCCTGTTGCTGAATATTTAATTGGAAAACTCATTTGATTTCTTAACTTTTGGATGTTCAAACAAACCCAAGAAATGGGAAACAATGTTTTTCCAGCTTATGTTTTCAATGTGAAACAAACCAAATAAGTCAAATGGTGGAAACCCTCTGAAATGTCAAGAAATGGTTTTCAAACTAGTTTTATGTTTTCTTTTTTTTTTTTTGGAAATGTACCAAACATATCCTAAAAGTAAAATTTGAAGTGTAGTAGATTTTAAGATGGTAACCAAGTAAGTGTGTTATCGTGTGCATTGTCTCTTTAAAATGAGGTCATGTTTAACTAATCATGGATAGGTTCTGAGTAGAACTAATTTAGTTTTGAACCACCTCCCCCTAGTCCACAACGACATCGCTTTAGCAGTTTCTTTCTTATTTTTGGCTAACAAAGAACACTATTTAATTAGGCCAGTTTAAAGAGTTGTCAACACCACCCTAAAAATGTACTTTGACAGACTTGAGTTAAGTCAGATTTCCACTAATTCAATTTAGTTATGAACCTCATGACGGTGAGACAAAATAAAACTGGATTAGTAACAAAAACTTAACCTAAAAAATTGAGCAGTGCTACCCTTTCTTATTTTCTTCCTTTGTTTTCCCCCCTACATTGTGTAATTAAAATTTGATATTAATTTTGACAAAATTAAAAAGCCATATGTCACTTCTTTCACTAAATAAAAATCTATTTTTAATTAAATAGTTTAATATTTCTAAACTATAATTATTAACAAATAAATATATTGTAATATTCAATAAATATCCACAAATATTAAAGAAATATTACTATTTTAATTAAAATTTGAAGATACTCAAAGGATGATATTCGAATTCTTTTTCAAATTTAAAAAATTTTAAACGAATACAAATAAGATCAGCGGTATCGGACAGCAAAGGGGTATCTACACAAAAAAAGGCTCTTAAACTTTTTTTTTTTTTTTGTTAACACAATCTCAGCCTTGCTTTATGAGGAACCTGACAGAATTGAACAGTGGTGGATGTTGGCAGGAACAATGGAAGAGAGAGGTTGGCGCTCCCAGACAATTCGGGCTCGAAATCAGCTTGGACACTTGCCATCTTTGGGGTAGCCTCCTCTGCCTGCGCGGGGACCCCTCTGCCTTTTCCATTTTTTATTTTTTTATTTTTTTATTTTTGTGTTGGTGCATTATAACATGTTGCTGGTTTTGAGAGAGGGTCACATTACAAGCATATGCATCTGTAGCTTTTGTTGTGCTTCCTCTTTTGTGCGACTGTTTTATTACAGAGAATATTAAGTGGGCATTTCACTTGCTTCGAGGTTGTTTAGGATTTGTGATTGGAATAGCAACGACAATTTTGATGCATTTTTGTGCAAATAATCATATAGTATGTGATCTTAACAGCAACTAGATAAATAAATTAAATCAAATCCTAAGGTCGTTTTCAAAATGCAGAAAACACACATATGTTGTCTCCTAAACTCATTCTCCCTGGGGCCCTAAGGTTTTAATTGGAATTATTAGAGGCACGTTAACCTGCTTCACCCTTTTTTTTTAATCTTAAATAAAAGACCAAGTTTGTTTTAGTGTGATACGTGCAGTACATATCCTTTGAAAGCTAGCATTTTACGAATCTATTCCTTAAGAATTTCTAATTGCATGTGTATCTTTGAAACAGTCATTTAATTTACTGTATAACCTTTAAATATTGAAATTTAATAATACTTGCGCGTTAGAATTCTTACTTATCCCAATTAAGTATACGAGCCTGTAGGGATTTTTTAGATCTCGCAAAAATCCCGAAAAACCACCAAACGCAACAAATAAAATCACACAAAATTTAACGTGGAAAAACCCTCAACAGGAAAAAAACATGAGACTAAAATCAATCAACTATTACCTCCAAATTATAATCTTTTGTACGGACAAAGACTGTCAACCCCCCCCCCCCCCCCCCCCCCTCCCCCTCTCTCTACACTTCTTCTTCTTTTTGTTTTTCCTCTAACAATAGAATGACATATATTGGAAAACCAAAACTCTATCTCTAGCCTAACTTCCTAATTAGAATAAGATTCAAACTCCTAATCATGATGGAACCCAAACTCCAAATCATGATAGAACTATAACCCTATCTAATTCTCATGAAGTTCTACAAAGAATTAAAACACTATACTAACTTGGAGTTTGAGTCGATACCCAACATATCCTCCCTCGATGAAAAATCTCCAAGTGTCTCAACGGCTTCAAAAAAACTCACTCTCTTCTTCTTGTTCTTCATCTCTCCATTGTGGACAAGAGTCTGAGAAGAGTAATCTATACTATTAACGGATCGTCCATCTAAATAGCAAATATGGTTGCTATTCTTCCTCCCTCGTAAAATCAAATCACCATCTCTATACACTTTGCACCACTCTCCTTCACACACATACTTGTACCCACGTGATGTCATCCCACCCAACGAAATTAAATTAGCACCACATGACGACACATATCTCACATGATGAAGAATTCCGGCCTTTCTAGTGTGAAGCTTGAGGCGAACACTTCCAACACCTTCAACCTTCATCTTCTCGTTGTTTCTAACAATCACGTCGTCAAATTCTTTATTTGTCTTTAATGTGTTAAAATAATTTTTGTTATTGCAAATGTGTATAGAGGCTGTAGAATCTAACACCCAAGTGTTACTCGCATCAATACATGTACTCTGCATCAATAATACCATATCTTCATCACACACAACCACCAAGGAGTCCGCATTCTTCCCATTTTCTTGAAGCTTCATCTGTCTAATACTCTTCAAATCATCACGTATCTGGGAATATTTGAACTGAATGTGACCCTTCTCTCCGCAATAATAGCACTCTTTTTCGCTACCATCTCAGACCTGAGATTTTGACATTCCTCGATAACTGTCACATCTCACATTACTCCTCCCTCGATTAGAACCTTCAAAAGCTAGTGTACTCTCACCACCAATAGATACGCTCTCCTTTTCCATCATTCTTTCTTTTTCACGTAGGAGTGTTGTCACATCGTCGAACTTCAAAGTCTGCTTTCCTGCAATTATCGTCTGAACTAACGGCTTGTACGACTTTGACAATGATGACAATAGGAGTAACGCCTTCTCTTCTTCTTTAATCTCCTCATCAATATTCATAAGTTGCCAAACTAGCTGATTAAAGGCATTGATATAGTCTTGAATTGCAGTACCTTCTTTCACCTTCAACGAATAAAGCTTCATCCTCAAACACAATCGGTTAGTCATCAACTTCGACTTATAAATCCCCTCAAGCCTTTCCCACAGCCCCCTTGGTGTGGTCTCTTGCATAACATTGTACTTGATCTTGGGGGCGAGTGCCAAACGAATTGTGCTAACCGCCCTCTTTTGCATAGAACTTTATTCAGCATCCTTCAATCCTTCAGGTTTCTTATCTTCTAAAGCTTGATCAACACCCTGCTGTACAAGAATATCTTCAACCGTGCACTGTCATACTACAAAATTTGTCTTGCTATTGAATAGCGGAATATCAAACTTCGGACCCGAACAAGTCATCATCCTCTAACCGCAATCAAAATTCAAATTAGCCACTATAGAGTTTGAATTTGATAAAACCGACATCAAAAATAAACTCAGCACGTCGAAAACCCTAGGAACGACTCTTGGATCACCAAAATCTGCCTCCAAATCCTCGATCAAAAGACAAATCAATCTCAACCATCGGATCTGCATGAATAGTTCCTGCTACAGTATTCCCGCTACAGTGCGTCACTACAGTAACATTTTTCCTCGATGTCGATCACCGTGCTTCGACCGCTGATGTCTTCACGAATCACGCACCGATCAAACCTCTATAAACCGTCGAACCCCGCTCTGATACCACTTGTATGGATTTTTTTAGATCTCACCAAAACCCTGAAAAAGCCACCAAACACAGTAAATAAAATCATACAAAATTTAACGTAGAAAACCCTCAACAGAGAAAAACCACGAGACTAAAATCAATCCACTATTACCTCCTAACTATAATCTTTTGCACGGACAAAGACTGTCAAACTCTCTCTCTCTCTCTCTCTCTCTCTCTCTCTCTCTCTCTCTCTCTCTCTCTCTCTCTCTCTCTTTCTACACTTCTTCTTTTTTTGTTTTTCCTCTAATAATAGAAGAATATATATAGGAAAATAAAAACCTATCTCTAATCTAACTTCCTAATTAGAATAAGATACAAACTCCTTATCATGATGGAATCCAAACTCCTAATCATGATAGATCTCTAACTCTATCTAATTCTCATGAAGTTCTACAAAGAATTAAAAATATTATACTAACTTGGAGTTTGAGTCGATACCCAACAAGGCCGACTATTTTACTATTTACATTTTTAAAGTTGTCAAGACTTTTTAGTTCAACTGTAAGAATCAATGCTTAATATCTTGACAAATAAAATAGACGGCGTATACGATCCAACGTAGAGAGCGTTGAG